CTTTTCCAATTCTTCTCTGACACAAAAAGTAAATGCTGGAGATGAGCTACCAACCCCAGAAGCTTGCTTCTTTCTGTCTGTCTCTTTCACAAATGGGTTAATATATGTTATCTCTACCAGAGGTTGGCAAATATTAGCATTAGGTCAGCTGGGAACAACTCTTTGGCCACTTGTACAAAGAGCAATTACACAGTCCCCTCCTCTGGTTGAGAACAGGATTTGAGGCGTAGAAAATCAACACACATTATACAGGAAGGAAGGATGATTGAGAAATTTCCAACTCAGGACCTGGGTTATGGGTCTTATATGATTGCACTGAAAACTGCAAGATTAGATGTATCACTTTAGCAATACTTGGAGGGGGGAAACAATCAGACAGATCACATCTCTAACAATGGTAGGCTCTTCTGATTGCCTAAAAGGTCATGGCTGTCTTTTAAGCCCATGATCTTCCTGACCAGGCACAATATATCTTGAACAAGATGTTGTAGATATTCATAGGATAATTGCAGAGCTCATGGAAGGCTATTCCTGCCAGCCAAGAAGGAAATTAGCAGCCTTCATACAAATTAACATAACTATCTATCAGTGTAGGGCAGGGGCCTCCAACCTTGGCAAATTGAAGACTTGTGGACTTCAACTCCCAGAATTCTGGGAGTTGAAGTCCACAAGTCTTAAAGTTGCCAAGGTTGGAGACCCCTGGTGTAGGAAACAAATGCACTTTGAATAGAGAGATCTTGATTTATATATTGTCCTTTTACTATAGGAATCACCTAGTGAAGGTTCACTCCGTTTTAATAAATTGTTGTTATTATATCAGATAAAACATAATCCAGCATCGCTCTTCTTACTTTAGGTCCATAAATTAAAATAAGTTAAAGTATGTAATGGGATAGGAAGAGGCTGACTTTTGACTTCTGCTTCTAAATGTCAGGTCAGTTTGTAGTAAGGCCTCCCTAATCTGAGATTTAAATGTTAATGAGAGGGTGGACCAGGCATGTATTATTGAGACCTGACTGGGCCTGGAAATGTGGAGTGGCCTTTTCTGAGATATACCCACCTAGGCTTGGGGTGTAGCATCAGCAAAGAGTTGAGGTGTGGTGATTGTCATCTGGGAATCACTTTTGGTCTTCAGGAGTGCTGCACCAGAGGTCACCAATTGTAAGACCCTGTTCATGAAATTGGATTCTAAGGATTAGTTGGGATTGTTGCTGTTGCACCAACCTCCTTCCCTAAACTCCTTATCTCTGGGACTCCCAGATACATGGTCTTGTGGGACTTTAATCTACCTTCTCAATGAGGTCTGAGGTGGCCCAGAGATTTATGGCCACCATGATGGCCAAGGGTCTCTCCCAAGTCATCCAAAGCCTGAGGAAAGACAGTGGCCACAGATCAGATCTGGTGTTACTCTTGGAAAGAGCTATGCGATCTGAAATGAGGGGAGTTTTTTGTGTTCCCCTTGTCATGGTCACATCATGCCCTGATTACCATAAGATTCTTTAGTGTCATCATCTACTGCAGAGAGGTCAGCTCCAGTGGTGGTATTCTACCGTTTTGACCTGGTTCTGCTAAGCCAGTAGCAGTGATGAGCAGTGGAGACCAAACCGGTTCTCTCTGCCACTCTGCTGTTGGGCCAACCCACCCACCCACCCAGGCTCCCATACTCACCTTTATCCTCTGCATAGAAGAGTGCTGTGCGGCAGCTGCTGAAGCAACTGGGATCGTGCAGGTTTGCAGGAAGTGAGTTAGAATGCCTCTGTGCCTGCGCAAAATGCACATTTGGTGCAAAGCACGCCCATCAAGCCACGCCCACCAAACTGGTGGTAAAAATATTTGAATCCCACCACTGGCCAGCTCCATTAGATTGGTTTGCCCTCTTCCCCCAAGACTGATGAAATCTGATGGGTTCCAGAGAGAGCTGGGAAGTTGTTATTACGCCCAACGTCTTTGTTGCCACTTAGAATAAGCGGGGTGGGTGAGGCTTTCAATCAAATTGCACCTATGTGATCTCTTTAGTGGTTGGATTTGGCCTTCTCCATGGCTGATGAAAAAATTAAGGATGTGTCACACACTAGCCACCCCCACACTCGGTTTAGTGAAGGGGAAAAGGTCACGTCACATGATGCTGCTATGACGCCATGAGTTTGACACCCCTGATCTAGAGCATTGCTGACATTCTACAAGGGAAAAATTTAATTGGACACAGGTTAGAGCTGCTATCAAGGCCTACCTTGTGGTAGAGTAAGGGTGAGGAAGCATCAGTACTTCTCCGCCTTTATCGCCATTCTGTGGCTGTTTCAGGTGATACATCCCATCTTGGATAGAAGGGGCTCAAAAACTCCCTGCAGGGGCCTATGGAAGAATTTGTTCAACATTGGTAAGACATTTGCTCACATTGACTCATAGTTAGATGCTGGCCTGATTGCTAATCCAGAGAAGTTGTTTGGAATGGTTTGAATCTGTTGAGCCTGATAAAGTGGAGATTCTTTAGGATTGTGAACTCAGTCACCTATTCTTTAGATTTTGCCCCTCCTGGCTTGTTAAGATGGCCCAGGGGTGTTGTGTGAGTGGATTTTGGTGGTGGTAAATTCTTCAAGTCAGGGAGTTATTTATCTCTACCCTTTGATTCGCCTCCCCAAAAAGCCATTGCTGAACCCCACTATATTGGACAATTTTCACCCAGTTTCTAACCTGCTTTTTGGGGAAACTGGTTGAGAAGGTAGCTGAATAGCTTCAGAGGACTCAGGATGAAGCAGATTATCTGGATTCTAATTCAAATAAAAATACAAGATCCAACAGGTTTCTAGTTTATTTGCAGACAATTTCATTTTTTCAGAAACCTGAAGAAACAAATTCAATTAACTGGACCAAATCTTGACCAAAAGAAAAAAGAAAACTAGAGCAACATGCGATATTGACGTTCAAAACTCTGAGAAAAGCTAGTTATGTGCAGTGTTTAATGAACTTATCAAAATTGAGCAACAATCATCATTGAAAATCCTCAAAAGTAAACAAGCTCAAGAGGCATGGGAGATAAACAGATACCAACAATCCCCATAAGGAAAATGGGGAAAATAAGAAGAGGTGGAACAGTAGGTTCACTGATAAGCTAAGAAAGATGGAAAGGAAAGGAAAGCGGGGATTTTGTGGAGTACAAGTGATAGCCCAAGCTTTAGGATGGAGCTAGGACTTAAAACTCCAACAATAAGATGAGGTTAGTGAGGAAGGCAAAATATAAGAGGCTTTTTGGTGGTAAGGAGAGTACATCAGAAATGAAAAAAGAATCGATAGCTTTTTTTCATTTCTGATGTACTCCATGTTTTTCAATAGAAGAATATAGGGAGAGGATGAGATTATTTTATAACTTTGTCTCTCCTCTCGATTGAAGAAATGGGGAAGGGGGATAAAATTCAGGACCAATTGCTACCTTAAATGAATTTAAGATTCCAAGGCCAAATGTATTAAATCCTGGAGTGTTTAAGGAACTGGTTGAAAGAATTTTTAAAGGCTCCTGGAGAACAGGAAGGGGTTTGAAAGATTAGAGAAAGATAAGCAGAATTGTATTATTCAAAAAGGGAAAGGAGGACTCAGTAAATTACAAACTACTTGGTTTAACGAAGATACTTAACAAAATGTCTAAAAGCCCTTAGAAAATTTGGTGTGGATTTGTCAGCAACAGATAATACAGATATAAATAGATATATCACCTAAAACAGCTCCTTCATATAGCTTACATGCTTACCAGCATTCTCTGTAAAAATTAGAACATCTGTAGTAAATCCTAGCAGACCCCTATGTGCAAAGCTGACCAATAACATTTATCAATTAAACAGCAATGATCAGAATTCCCCCGTATCTGTAAGCACTTAGTACTTCAGTGGTATGAAACTCATCCCATGGCATTGTCACGTCACGTATCGGGACTCCTCCCTTCACTAAACTAGGCATGGGCCTGGCCAGCGCGTGACGCATTTTCCATGTGGGCCACGAGTTTGACAGCCCTGCCTCAATGTAACTTCAGTTACTAAGCTCAAAAAGCAAGTTGGATACCAAGGCAAAGGAAGAAGGCAGCTGTTTTGACTCATGCAAGGAGTCACTAATTCTAGCTTCACTGAGGTCACTTACAGCTGTGTCAATATTTGTCATATGCAAAAGGTTGGACCAGGTCCTGGAAAGGCAAAAAATACAGACCAACTACTTTACATTGGAGTTCTAAATCTTATTGCCTCAGAGATCCACAACAGCTTATACTAGACTGTACGTGATGGTTCCAACAGTGGGAAGTCAGTAATTTTATGACAATTTTTTAAAAGATACATCTTCAGGTATATGAAGGACATTTTGAAAGTGTTTAGTAACACTTACTAGGAAGCAAGCTGGTGTTGTCCTCTACTACTGTTTTAATTTCCGAGAATGCTTTAACCGTATTAGATTACCTCTGTTTTATTTTGCTTTGTTCTGGTCTGATACACACACTCCTAAAGAAAGAACAAGAATACAAACTGTATCATATATTTACTTTCTAAGAATATCTGCAGGATACATGTGGGCCCTTGAAGCATTACTGGAAATAAATATTACAACTGAAATTTGGACTTTGCTTCACAGCGTACTTGTTTTCATTTTTTTTAAACGAAAAGAATCATGTGGTGAGTATATGACAATGTCACAGTAAGGCTGCAACATCATCTGTAAACTACAAGACTGTGATAGCACAGCTAACTGGAAAACAGCTCACCAAATTAAAACAATTTACAATATTCCGATACAGTATATCCATTAACAAATAAAAACAATTGTATTCAACTAGCTTTTTGAGGAAACCATTATCAGAAATTAAGGGTTCAACATAAAATATGATAACTTGTCAAAGTATCTGCTTTGTATCAGGGAACTAAGTAGTGCAGAGTTTAGTTAGGCTCTGTTTTTCTTCATAAAATAGGCAACACTGAACTTGCGTGTCTATACTTTATTAAAGGTAGAACTGTGAATTTGAAGAATTATTAGAAATAAAACCAAGTTCTTATAGGGAAGAACGAAGAAAATTCAGAGTACACTGAAATATCAATAGTTAGAGTTAAGAGCTTCACCACATTGCATGATGAGATTTGGGAAAGACTGTTTTATTAATTTTGATATTTACTTGATCTCAAAATAAATATTTTGTCTACATCACAACTATCAGGACATATAATTCTCAGCAAGACTGCAATATGATTTAATTTAGCCTGTCCAACATAATGTATGATGACCCTGCAGAAGTTGTATGCACTTATCAATCACATAACTTGGCTAGTCAATGGACAGATCGCTCTCTGAGCCACGTTAAACATTTCATGTGGAAGGATATAACGAATTGAGTTATTCAAACCATTTAACTGAATCACCTGATCAGTGCTTGTATGCATTACCACTGTATTTTTTTAAGAACTGCAAATAGATACAAACAGTCCTCGCTCAATTTAAACCAATATTGACTGTGCATAAAAGGTTAGTTAATGAACATTTTTAATAACTAACTTCTGGTCTATTCCCTGAGCCTAGCATCCAATTCAATCATAAAGGCTCTAGGCACCGATATTGATAATTCAACCATATTTGAAGTCAAATGCAGATACTCCTCCACTTATGGCCACAGACACAACTTCTCACTATAATGGACAGGCTTCATTACAATTGTAAATTGAGGATTACCTGTACCTGCACGTTTCTGGCATTCTGCAGTTTTAAGACTTTCTGATTTTACAATTATTGAAAAAACAAAATGTTTGTTGCTTGCTTGTTGTTGCCGGGGTGGGGTAAGGAATTATTGTTTTTACTCTTTGTACATTGTTTTTTTTATTTTTTGTAAGTTACCTACAGTCACTGAAAGTGAACGGGCGGCCATATCAATTCTTCAAATAAATAAAATACATAAATTCCAGATAATGCAAAATAACTGCAATGCTCAGCTTCCCAATTCTACCTCGACTTCTGCCACAGCACTAAAACCAACACCCTCTTGAAGAATGAACATGTTATTGGGAGATGCTTGCTCTTGCACAATGATACATTCTTCCTCAGCAATCTCAATGACATCTTTGTGCTGGCCAAAGCCCTCTTGTACTGCAGTGTACTTAGAGATGAGGACTTTTGCTTTCCTGCCAGGCTCTGCCATACTCAGTGTGTGCACTACCAACACAGCAGGCTGCTCTGAAACGGCAGCATCCTTAAGATCTTTAATGTCAGATTTGGATAAATCCTTGACTATATTGTCTTTGTGCTCAAGCTTGTGGTGTGGAAGTTTCTGAGAGAGGCTGTAGCCTACACCACAAATATTACACTGATAGGGCTTGTCACTATGATGGACTTTCTGATGACGTCGGAGTTTTGTTGCTAGAGGATAGGATTTGGGACAAAGGTGGCAGCAGAAAGGCCGCTCGCCTGTATGCAGGCGTTCATGAGCTTGTAATGTGTGGGGATCACGCAGTGCTTTCCCACATACAGTGCACAGATGAGCCTCACCTGTGTGGGAAATCAGATGACATAGTAGCTCAGGACGCTTTGGAAAGGCATCTCCACAGAAATGGCAGCGGTAAGGACACTCCCCTGTATGTAACCTAAGATGCCCACGTAGACTGCCTTGCTGACGGAATGACTTGGGACAGTAGGGACAAGTATAAGGACGTTCCCCTGTATGCAGGTGCATGTGGTTCCGCAGGGATCCTGGATTGGCCAGGTGCCACCCACATATCACACACTGGTAGGCAGAAGATGTAGAGCTTGGCTGTTTAACTTGATGTGTCTTGAGATGGATACGAAGGGAAGGTCGCTGGGCAAATGATTTCCCACAATCTGGACAGACATAGGGACGTTGGCCTGTATGCAGTACCTGATGTTCTTGAAGATCACACTTGGTGCCGTATGTTTTGTGACACTGTGGACAGGGAAAAGGCCGTACCCCGCTGTGGCCCAGCATATGTGTTCTGAAACTCTCTTCTGAACTATAGCTCTTGCCACATTCCGTGCACAAGAATGGTTTGTGATCAGTGTGCACAAAATGATGTTTTTTCAGGTGGCAAACCTGAAGGAAGCCTTTCCCACACTCTTCACATCTATGTCGTCTTTTAGTGTTTGATTCTGTGTGAGCAGAATCACCAGGCTGGTATCTATGCGATTGTTCCTCTTGTCTAGGATTCTCTGCCCTGTCTTTGGGTGTACTTGGAAGATACCCATTCGGTATTCTTTCAGCACAAGATTCTTTCCTTAATGGCTCTATGTTATCAGTCAAAATGGCACTGATACAAACTGTACTGCGGGGTGTTGGATTTGAACAGGTTTCAGCCAATGTTGCATCTGACTTTATTTCAGCCATCTGCTCTTCCTGAGAATTTTCTTTGCTTCCATCATCCTTGGAAACAGGATGTTTGTTAAAAAGTTTATTATTTCTACTCTTTATTTTGGTATCCCACTGTTCAATTTGCAAGGAAGAAATTTTACTGCTTTTCTTGAGATTGATAGCTAATCCAAGAATCTGTTCCATCTGCAGCTTCTTATTTAATATAGAAACAGAAGAGGCTCTGTCCTTCAACTCTGCAAACTTGGAAATACCAGGAATACCTGAAGAATTGAATCAGGAATGGTTAGCTCTCATAACAAAGCATCAACTAGTTATACTCACTTTATAGTAAAGCTTATTAATGCCATACTTTATCACAACTTCAGCCTTTGGAAATATTCGACACAGGGCACGGACTAAAGAAGTAATTATCAATTGACAAAGTAGTTATCAATTGATCAAATTGTAGTTTTGAGAACTACAACAAGGGCTTTTTATTTGAATTACAAATATCCTATACAGGTAGTCACTGTTTAGCAATGTCATAGGACACTGACTGTTCATAGTCAGTCACTGACAATGATGAAAAAGTAACTTTGCAAGCAACCCTCACATTTGCAACCTGTGAGGTCTGTAAAGCAAAGGAAAGCTGAAGTAAAATCATAAGTGTAGTAAAATATCATGCTGGCCTAGCCAGGGCACATGATGTCACTTGAAAACCTGTTTAAGTGCTTTGCAACTTTTCCAGAGGTGACATACTCCTTGGTGCCCTGGAGGAATGGACTTCAAATCTGGTGAAACTGCTAGTAAATGTTGTTGTTCTCGTAACTGTTCTCCTTGCTGAGGCAGAGAGAATACTTGGGCCTCTCGGTTGCGGTATGTGGCTCATGCCCTCTCCCTGTCCCATCACATCTGAGAGGCTCATGTCCCCTCCCTGGAGCTCTCTTTAACAACCACACTTGTGGCTGTTGAGCAAAGTGGTCACATGTCCTCTCGCTTAATAACTGCTTTGCTCAATAACCAAGATTTTGAGCCCAACTGTGGTTGTAACAGGACAGCTACCTTGTGTATTTCATTTCCTATTTGATTTTCCAGAATGATGCGTGATACTGATTTCTAAATTCTAAATTTCTAAACCATGTACGTACCTGCAGAGGAATCCTGGACAATATCATCTTTGTGTAGCAAAGTTTCCTCTTCTAAATCTATACTTGGTTGTGGTTATTACTGGCATGTTTTGCAATGTTTTCTTTTCTGTATCAAGTTTCCCATCTGAGGTATGTGCTAGGATATTATTTTTCAGACAAGTAGGACTGTCCTGTGATTCAGTTAACCAGCATGGCAGTTCACTGCCCAAATCAATAGGACAGCAGACTTTGATGTGCAGTTCCCTGTTGATCCATTCCAACATTACATTGGCTTCATCTTCAGCACGGCTTTGCTTCACCAAGCTATATAACACATAATGTTAAATATTAATTCTGGTGCAAGATGCAATATCATTCTAGACACCCCCCAGCTCAAAAAAACCCCTTAAGAACACAGCACATTTATTAAAAAATACAGTATCTGGAAATGGCCGTCCACAGACTTTTTCTGAATTTATTTGACTAGGATTATAGAAAACCCATGTGCACTAACTCCTATCCTTAGCACTTTAGCTCAACCCTGATTAAAATAAGAATTAGAACAACACTGTAAAGCTGTATTATATTGAAAAGCAGCTTGTGTAGTTTACCAATCATAAAATTTTAGGGACAAAGTTGATAAATTTCCCTGAAATGGATAAATTATTATTATTTTTTATTAAATACATTATCTACATTTATTGCTCAGTGAAAGGCTGATACATATAAGTTTTTGATAGTTTTTTGTTTGTTTAGTTTTTATTTTCTTGTTTAAAAGTTTTAATACAAAAAAGACATAAGCTGATTTCTTTTGAATGTCCATTGTGCTATATTTTTCCACATCATTATGTAGCCTTTCATTTTTAAATCCACTTTCAATTCAATCGCAATTATGTCAGGTTAAACTTGTTCCCTTTATATAACATTTTTTAAACCCAGTCTATCTATAGAAGTGGACACTCTTAACTTCAGAGTTCACTATTCAAAAATATTTTTCAATATGTCCAATATTAAAATATTTTGCTTCATTCTGTATTTGTAAATCTATACTAAGCATATATTTCTTTTTTTAGAGACTAGATATGTTTGGATGTTTGCTACCTATTGTTATCAATGTATTAATTATAATGTATAAATTTTAAAAAAGGCACTTTGCCCTTAATATATTTGGAAATTAAAATAATCAATTTAATACACATACAAAATTATTAAAATTAAGTATTATTATTCCATACAAAAATTCACAAGGGAAACTTAGTGATAGTACGTGCTTCAAATTCAAGCTAAAGCGTATATCTATTATTTTATATGTCTGTATAAAATAATGGACAAAAAAGTAATGAAATAATGTTTTATCTGGGATATAAATAAGGAGTACCAGTTTTTTAAAAGTTGAGGCGAAATCTCTGTATTTATGACCATTATTCAGTTTCAATCTTGCCCATAGGGATCTTATTATATATTTACCATTATTAACTACACAGATTACTAACTATACAGATTTAGATGGGGAGCTGATGATGGCATACTGAAGTACACCTTAATCCTTTTCTCAAAGATATAAATAGTATTTTAATATTAGAAAGAATTAATGGCCAAGGAAAAATCTAGTCAATAAATTGAATATACAAACTGCTATCTCAGACAGTTATAGAAACAATTATATTTGACCTCCTATACTTGTCTGTGTCTTGCATGAAGATTATTTCTCATCTGCTTTTATACTTATTTTGATAGACATTGCTACTAAAAGCAAATTTAAGAACACATTCCTTCCTTCGCAGTTCCCTACCTGTTATAGTCTTCCTAAACACTTATGCCAGAGAAGATTCAGTTTTTTCCTTTCATTATTGTATTTGTTTTCAAAATTTATCTAGCATGTGTGCTTTGCCCTTTAATAGATTACTTTCATTTAATGGATATATTTTGATTGTTTTCACTGGGTGGTAATCTCTTAAAGTTTTATCAGCTCGTATTTATGCCAAGTATTAAAGAATTCTTAGCCGATTAAGAAATTTTGTCAGAATTGTGTATGATTAAAATAATAATTAAAAATGTTGCTGCATCTTTACTTTTCATTTTCATTACTTTCACCTATTAAATTACAAAGTGTAGCAGTGACTAGCTAAATTCAGCCAATTTTTACTAGAACTGATTAATGGTTTAAAAATTATCCAGACTTTCCGATAAACGTTATCTCATCAAATAAACTGGGGATTTAAAGGCTCTAGTAACAAGAGTTGAAGCCATTTAGAGTAAGAGGCTTAGTATATAGTTTTTGCAACCCAATATAATCAAAGCATAGTCAGTCTATACAACCTTGATGCATTTGTTACCTATCTATTGTAGCCCATTTTATTATCAGAAAAAAGTTTCAAGACAGCAAGACAAAAGAAGAGTTAATCAGCTAATCAGCAATAAAGTTGCTAGATATCAAGGAAATCTCCAGTTGCCATTAAAGGTGAATTTCTACAACATTAATACAATACCTATTTATAATGGTTAAGCTTGCCTAAACATATAACTTCTCTCACACTCTTGATTTTTTTTGAACTTTATTAAACATGCACACCCACAGCCAGAGAGTTTCTCCAGCTCCTCAAGTTATAGAGTAATCTTTAAAAAATTCAAAGTTAACTGGAGATAAAGATGTTTGACTGAAAGCTGATTCCAGGCACACATAAAAATGGACATACCAATTCTTGTTTTGTTAGTTAGTTCCAGGCTTCAATTGAGGGAGATCATTCATACGATCACTAATTTGTGCATATCACCAGAATTTGTAGTGCAGCGTACTTGACATTAAGGTCTGAATGAATCATTTTCAACTTGATTATACATAAAATAAATATCAACTCATCTTAAAAATAAATTAAAAAACAAGTTACATAAATTAATCTTAAGATGTTCACTATTATATGAATTGTTATAGTCAACGATCTATTACATTACTGTAGACCTGACCTGGGCATTTTATAGTCCACAGGGCACATCCAGCCCATGGGCTGTTCCTGTTTGGCCTGTGGTATTAAGGTTGGCATGGGAGCGGCAATGATATCAGGGGGCAGAGTGGCAACAACAGTCCCAGTTGATCATGTGACCATTTATGAAAATGAATTGTCCACCCCTGCCATAGATGAAAATTTCTGAGAAAATTATAAATTATCCATATGCTTCTGTTCTTACCTCCGCCAGTGGGATATCCCATTACAAGCAGATGCCTCTTTCCAGCTGGGTAATGGGCATGCCTGTAATTGAGAGCAAGGTGGGTGAGGATCTCAAATTTGCAGCTGTTTCTTTAACTCATAGATCTAGTCGAACCATTAAGCTAACATACTAAACGTATTAAGGTCATCTAGAGTAGCCCCATGAGAAAGGTGGCAAATAAATTTAACAAATAAATAAAATAAAAACTTGAGGAAAATATATAAAAATATAACTTGAGATCTATGCAGACAGGCTTTTTATTTGCAGCTATGAACACAAATCTAAAGTACCACCACTCTATCCCAAGCTAATATTGGAACTTTTTAGAAGAAAGGAAGTACAGCTAGCCCTTGACTTACAACAATTTCCATTGCCAAGCAAGGCAGTTGCAAAATGAGTAGCATCCAACTTTGCAGCCTTTTTTGCCACAGTTGTTAAGTGAATCACTGAAATTATTAAGTGAATCATTTACTTGTTAAGTGAATCTGGTTTCCCACATAGATTTTGCTTATCCTAAGCCAGCAGTTCAGGCTGCAAATGGTGATCATATGACCCTGGAATGCAACTATAAATGCAATGCAAATTGCATTTATAGCCCAAATTGTGATCACATGACTGTGGGAGTGTTGTCACAGTTGCCAATGCAAGGACTGGTTATTATTTTTTAAAGTACCATTGTAACTTTGAATAGTGGCTAAATAAATGGTTAAGTCAAAGAATATTTATACTTATATAGCATTCAAAGTTCTTGCTTCAAATGCAAAAATGCTGCAGTAGAAAATGGTTGCAGGTAATTATAACTCTAATAGAGCCTGCCCATCATAGTCGTAAGTTTGGATAATCATAAAATCATGATCAATCAAATTTTATTTGTTTTACAGTAGTCATTGAGCAAACACCATGGTCATAAAATGAATCAATCATTTGCTAAACAACTGGAAATGTCAGTTTTATGTAAAACTGGTTTGGCAAAAAATTGGAAGTAAATGTCAGTCTAATGTAAAAATGCAATCATGTGACTATGGGACTCTGCAAATAAATGTGACCCGGTTGCTAAGCACCCAACCAGCCAAATTTCGAATCTGGGTTGTAAGTACTCTCAAAGTAGGTTTATCATAATTTTGAATAGATCCTAAGCGATCCATTGTAAGTTGAAGACTAACTGTAACTATCCTGCTACAACCCAGTTTCATCCATCAATTCTTTCTATGGTTGCGTTTCAATCTTTAAAAGTCAATGATCCAAAAACTGATCCTGCACATAATTATGGTTTGTTAAATAAATCATAATGGTTACATTTACAATTAATCCTCATCTTTAAACTTTATAAATCACCATGGTTGCATTCACATAACTAAGCTCTCACATTATAATTTATAATTTGCCATAACAATTACTGATTAGGGAATAAAAATATTGCAATTCAAATCACATTAAGTGGAATTTTTCAGAATTGAAGTTATTGTTTTCTATGCCATGGCTGCCTACTTACAAACCAATCTAAAAAAACATTATGGTTTCATGTAGTGTGTATGTTCACCAACAACTAATAGTTCATTTAACTGTAGGAAATTGAATAAAACTTTTAAGTGTGTATTTTTCAGCAATGCCAGCAACCTTTCAGCATAAGCTTTTATAACTAGTTTACAACTGAGAGCATTACTGCCTTTTTAATCTAGGAAATCTGTTATTTCCATAAACCTTATTAAGTTATCCATAGAAAGTTATACAGTCAGTGCTGATTGATAATCTGGAATGCTAAGACTTTGTTTTAATGATAGCTCCCAGCAAATTATTTAAGGCAAGATATTCATTGTAACATATTTTAAATAATAGCTGGGTAGATTAAAACAAAATATGATTTGTCTTGAATAGTTATAAAGTGGAACATGTATTCATAATATATGCATATTCTGTGGTAGACGTATATGTCATTTTAATATATAGTAGTATATATTGTATAATATATATACAGATGAGATTCTGCCGAAACGTTGCTACAACTTTAAAAGCACAACTATAATGACGTGGGAAAATGCCCGAACAAAGCTGAATAACTAACATACATACATACATACATACATTCATACATATATTAGAATAGAAGGAAAGCATTGCATACATGCAGTGATATTCATAATTATTTCACTGACATTTTCAATGTATTAGATAACAATGTTAACTTGGATCTCAATTGGAAATAAATAACATCTAACCTTGTGTAAGATGTCTATAAAAATAGATTATGAAGGAATTAATGATAATGCTCATGGGGAGGAAGAATAGATGTATGTCGGTATATGATAAGAGAAAAATACAGGTAAAATTTGATCAGCATCTTATTTCTTAGAATGCTCCCAAGATACTTATAGGAAAACTGCAGATAGAACATGAGGTTCCACCCTAACAATAGTTCTTATCTCTGAATTATAGACAGTATGTAGCTATTATAACTAGTTATTTGGGCTTTCTATTAATTTGTCTGACCTTCAAAAGTAATCTAAGCTACATGTTATCCCGAAGGTGCTTTTCTTGGTTTTTTCCTTGAAAATGTTTCACTTTTCATCCAAGAAACTTCTTCAGTTCTGGCTGAATGGTAGGAAAAGAAAGGATTTATATTCCAGATAACTACTAAGGAACATAAATCCTTCCTTTCTGCACCATTCAGCCAGAACTGAAGAAGCTTCTTAGTTGATAAATGTTTTCAAAGAAAAAAACCAAAACAGTCCAGCTGCCTTTTGAAAAGCACCTTTGGGACAATCATGACGTGGATGATTGAGAATCTCCATAGACATTAAGCTACATGTTATATTCTGTGGTAACGAATTATATAGTGATTTATACATGTGTGAACATGTACTTCTATTTCTCTGTCCTGAAATTTCTGGCATTAAGCTTCTTTATCCACTTTTCCTGGGCAATCAAGTGGAATGCACAACATATCTGGAAGATAAAATATATTGAAATATTCAAGCCAACATTTGTTCAAATAAAATCACAACAGACCAGGCTTTCAAACCTACAAATTTAAACCAGGAAAGTTGGGAGAGCACACATCCGCTGATATGACAAGCTGCATCATCTTTTGCCGAAAGGGATGATATTACCATTTTTTTATTTATTTATTTATTTATTTATTTATTTATTTATTTATTTATTTCCTATTTCTTAAGCCACCCATATCCCATAGTGAGGGCTTCTCAGCATTAGCATTATATTTTCTGATTATATAGCATTATGCTTTCTTATTATAAATCTAGGCAGAACGTATACTTAATAGTCTTGCCCCTATTTTTCCCCTATAACAACTAACCTGTGAGATGAGTTGGGCTAAGAGAGAGTGACTAGTAGCCCAAAGTCACCCAGCTGGCTTTCATGCCAAAGGGAGCCCAGAATCCCCAGTATCTTGGTTTCTAGGTCAGCACCTTCCTCACTACACCAAAATGGGCCTCTGGATTCAGGAGTCTAGACGCAGATTTCCACTTGGTCGACCTATGTGTCAGTAGGAAGAGGGACGAGAGCGCCCCGACGGGCTTCAGGCCTATCTCTACCTGTCGCTCTTGCCCGCTGTCTGAAGCTCACCGACAAGGAAGCAGCCGCCTTCTGTTCTTCGACCTGCGGCCCAAGCAGCAGCGACATTCCCGGCTCCAGAGCGTGCCCCACACACCATACTCCCAGACCCTTCTCCGAGGACAGCTAAGGTCCCAGGGCCAGTCCCCCAGGAAGGTGCCACGCCGGGCAGAAGGGGCACTTGGCGTGCATATTCAGAAGGTTGACCTGCAAGAAAAAGATGGTCAGCGCAGGAAAATTCGGCCCCACCACACAACACACACACACACACACAAAACCCCTCGCTTACGCCCAGGCCTCGCTCCACGTTGACTCTCACGCCCTGTTAGGAAGCGGAACACTCCGCTTCACGGGCCTCGGTTTGCACCCGGGCAAATATTCCTTTCACACGCCTGACGTTGAGCGCGGGGAGGAAAGGAGTTTCCATGGAAACGGGTTCGTTTTCCGGTTCAGAATCGGATGTTTGCGAAAGTAGTTTGACAGGCGGGAGCGACTGTTGGGCGAGCGCTCCGAACGCGCATGGTCAGAGTCAGAAGCGGAGAGGGATTTTTTTTTCCCTCCCTACATGAGATCGACCGCGGATTCGAGCGCGCGCCCCTGTTTCGAGGTAATCGGGTTATGAGGGTGGAATCGCGGGGAGGGGCTCCTTCGCCGGCGGGAACGTTCTCGCTTCGTCTGCGCGGTCGGAGGGCGCATGATTTGGGAACTCCTTGGCCGAAGTCCAAGGCACGGAGCGTCTGCATTGAACTTCTAGCCTTTCTTTCCCCGTCTTGTCACTTCGGCCAGGCGCAGGCGTCCCCTCAACTCTGTTTTGGGCAATTCTTTTCTTTCTTTTTTAATGTATCTTATTTTATTCCTCAGTTTTCTGTAAGGGATTCACTGAAATGTACCGGTGGGAAAACATTTCTTCCATCAACTTCCTTCTCTTAACTTACTTTACAGTACCGAACATTGTTTCCGTTGTTTCTGCTGTTGCTGAATTGTGGTCTTTTTAGCAAGCACAACCCGTCATTGGCTTCACCATATTTTGTTACATAAACCACAACTGGCTGAACCTGATATTGTTTTAAGCCATAAACTGCGATTAATGCAACCATAGAACCTGGATTCGCACATTATACAGGCAAAACCAAACTTAATGGCTTAGTGTAATGTGTGATCTGAATGATAGATTTGTGTGACATGGACTGTTTACAAAGAGAATTATGTTAAATAAGGTAGTACTTAGGAGGGAGAAGTTGCTAAAAGCAAATTAGAGGATTTGAATCAAGCCATTCTGACATTCTGACTTGAATAACAATCAAAATAAAGGTATTGTAGCTGAAATTCTTTAAAGTGTATTGGATTTGAAGTAAAAAAAAAAAAGGAAGGCCGAGAATGATTTAGGAGTAGTGGTAGGCATATAAGTTACTACTGTGATTTTTCTAGTTATTGGATTTGCTGTCATATCACCAGAATCAAATTGCTCAGAGTAGAATTGTTCTACAAGCTCAGAGAAGTTATGTTCTGGCAGAAAGGAGTGGTATTTTTCAAACTATAACCTGATTCAGCATATTGTGTCATACAGTCAGTGGATCTTGTTTGATTTAAACTGAAAGCCGTGAAGCAGAGGGATCATCCTGGGTAACTCTCCCCCCTCACCCCAACTGCACTCTATTGCTGGTTGGGCAAGCTAAATGCCTAGTTTTCTTTAATACCTCAACTATTACTGCAAAATTTTAGTGGATTTTATTATAATGGTAATGCAGGAGTTGCAAACAAATGTATACAACTTTATTTTATTGCTTTGTTAGGCTTATTGAATTGAATACAGGAAATAAAAACAAATCTGCTTTCTTCATAAGCTAAAGACAGAAATTCATGAACACCACCAATTCAAGTATAATTTCTTGAGTTCCCATTCCCACATATACATGCTTAATGTATAAAAGTACATTAAAGTACATGTATGGATATAGATTCTCTAAGACATTGTTTCTCGGTCTTAGCAACTTTAAGATATAGGAACTTCAACTCCAAGAATTTGGGGCGTTGAAGTCCATTTATTTAAAAGTTAGGTTGAGAAACACTGTTCTAAAATTTGTTAGAGTGCCTACATAAAATTGAAACGGAATTTACCTGTTTTGCTAAATGATTAAGCACTGGTTGCTTTTGATGTTTTATGTCTGGTTTCTTTTTTTAATTGTTCTATTATTTTTCTTTGTTAACCTTAGAGTATTGTTCTTTGCCTCAGTGTATAAACAGAATGATTTTGAAGTATTAAAGTATCTTTTAGTGACTTTGTATAATCATTACTTTTGGAAAAAAAAATTATCTATTTTTTTTTGGAAAAAAATAGAGGAAGTTTGGGACAGTGAATATCTAAAATTACCTTTTCCTTTCAAAGTTAATTGCAACTTCATTTTCTTATAGTCCTCTTTTAAATATGTCTGAAATGAAAGATAATGTTTGCTGGAATACATATAGGTGGTCCTCAGTTAACAACCACTCATTCAATGACCATTTGAAGCTATGACAGTGTTGAATGAGTGGTGTTTGAAGTCCCAACTGTCCCAGCAGCTCCTTAGTCACATGATCACAATCTCATCACTTACCAATCAGCTAACACTTACCTGCAGCATCCTGCAGTCACATAATTGTGATTTACAATCTTTCTTCCCGGTTTCTGAGAAGAAATGTCAACAGGGAAGCCAGCAAGGAAAGTCGCAGGTTGCTTGGGTAAGTCTCTCCAGGGGATTGTACCAGAAGCCCTCCAAGGTTCCTTCCAACTCTGTTATTCTGTTATTCTCCCATGTGTACTCCCTTCTTGAACCTGATGGCGCTTCTGCCTCCCCAGCCACTCGTGCATCCTTATGCACCCTTCATCTAGCAGCTGTGATTTAGCTGCCTGTTGGCCTGCTTGCAAGCTGCCTTGGGACTTGTGGCTTCCTGCTGGCTTCCCCATTGACTTTGGATGTTGGAAGCTGGCAGGAAGTTGCAAGGTGGTATTGACTTAATGAGCCATGTTCCTCAATTATAACAAGAGGGAATGCAGGGATTGCTGTGGCTATGTGATGTGATTACATGATGGTGCACTTTACAGTCACATTACTCAGCAATGGAAATTCTGGTCCCAACTGCCATTGTTAAACCAGGATTGTGGATTGTAACTCAAAGACTGCCTATACAGAATAGATGTAGGTAATGTTAAGCTGCTTGGACCATCTCCTATCTTTCTGTGTCAACATAACAATACTATAATGATATATGCTCTAGTTGATGTTTAAATGTTTAGTAATCTGCAAAGTGTTGTAGGTTGTTTCAGCCAAGCATAAGTTAAATAATAAATTTTAGTAATGAATTGAACAATTGATGTTTTACAGGTACTATTTAGGTAACATAGCTAATCACCCATGATGTGGTGCTATGAGAAAAAGGCAAATATTTGATTTGCATATTTAGAACCAGAAAACTAGTTTGGCAACTTCCAACTTCTGGTTTCCTCAGGTTTCCCCATGCTCCTCAGGGTGTTTTTTTTAATGTCAACCAGTAGCTTGGTTCATAATAATAAGAAATCTACAATGGAGTTTAATATTTAAAGAAAAAAATACAGCAATTTAGATATGTCTCATCTTTTAAGAGATTAGATTATATTTTGATCCACTGCTGAATATTGCAAGTTGGAAGTATCTTGTTTAAGCATGGATTAGATGTTTTCTAAGACGTAATAAGAGTGATATGGCCAGGGACTTCAAATACTTTAATGTATTTATATACTATGCTCATCTTCAAATGGAACAGAAATATAGTTACAATTTACTAATATTGTGAAAAATCCTATGTTTATGCATTAATCTGACTTTCTGCTCAAAGTATGAGCTACGTCAGTGGAAAGTTTATTTTTGATTTATGTGTAAATAAATACTAGTTTCCCTTTAAGATTTTTGTTGGTCATTTCTTCAGTGATGATTTAACAACATATTGAAACATTATGATAGGTCAAATACTACTTGCATGTACTTGTATCACTTAGGTTTTGGGATGGCATTAGGGGAACATCTACCATATGCTGTCTATATTTCAGAGAAAACATAGAATATAAATACCACTTATAAACTAAATACTGTAGTATGATAATTAATAAGTACTGTATTCTGATCATGTTGTATTACTAAGTGAGAAAATTGGAATCACTTACTATAAGCAAATTGGAGATTGTTTTTATGTTGATACTAGGGATATTGCTTTAATTGGATAAATTTAGATAATTTTGAGAATATGCTGCTGAAGTTGTTTTGAAGAGAATGAGTCACCTCATATGGTGGTTAAGGTTTCCATAGAAACTGAGGATATTGCTAAAGACAGATGGTTGATTGCAATTTAAGCATGTTTCTAGCATTAGCTATTCATTCAGAAGAGTAAAATGTCTTGCTCTTTGTCCCTTTGGCAGCTCCTCCTGTCTTTGAGAGAGGAACAAACCATAGCTGAGGTTAACTTTGCAGATCTACCAGTCTGCATTAATATTTCCTACCAGTATATTGTATTTTGTCAAGCTAGACTTCCTGCACAATAATTTTATAGTCAACTGAAGTGTAAGTGTAATGTAGATGTACATTTGCTATGACTAACAACATACATATATTAATATTATATTAGCTATGAAATATGCAGCTAAATTTCCTTCAGTGCCCTCAAGGATTTATTGAAATTATGGCATAATGCTTTAATATGTGGCGATATTTTTTCTGTTGTGATATTAATTTCTAATATTAGATATAATCTTACTTTGATCCATTTTTGAAATATTTTATTTTGGTTGATTATTGCTTGAATTGATTTTAAGGATTCCCCAACACTTTTAATGAGATCCAGTTTAGTATAATGGTTAAGTCATCAATCTAGAAGCCAGGGATCGTGAATTCTAGTTCCACCTTAGGCACAAAGCCAGATGGATGTCTTTTGGATGGTCACTTTTTCTCAGCCCTAGGAAAGAGGGAATGGCAAACCACTTCTAAAAAACTGGAATTACAATTGTAAGTTTTGCCAGTCATTAAGCAAGTCACCATATAACTGCACCCAATTTTTACCTTTTTGTGGTTGTTGTTAAGTGAATCACCACTC